ATCCCCATGATTTCCTGACATTAATTACCCTCCATTGACAGTAAACCAAGTAAAACGACCTAAAAACAGCAGCTGAGACAAATAACCATGGAGTGTAAGTTAGAATTTTAACATGGCTTAAGCTGGCTGATATAATGCCACCAGATGCTGTGCATTGATGTGAGCTATCTCGCAGCCAGCTGTGGGTCTGATGAGGCATTCATCCCACATTAACCAGCACATAGCTGGAAAGCCTACTCAGCTGGGTGCTACTTTCATCCCGCCAACTCACCCAGAGAGTTCTTTCTCAGCCCAGACTAATGCCCAAATTCAAGAAGTGTTTAGCACACCATAATCAAGTTTTACTTTTTTATGCTTTCGCTTCTAACACAAGAAACCCAGTGTGTCACGTTGAAATGTTTCTTGTTTTTATTATTTCAGTATTATGGAATATTATCAAATTCATGTATTAAAGAATGAATAAAAAATTGTCTTCTTAAGTTAGCCATGAATCAGCCACACTGTACATTGTATTGTACATGTCGCTAGCATTGGGTAGAACCCTCATATCTCTTACATCATCAGCCCAAAACGTCATGTTTGTACAACCACTAATATTGCAGCAAGATAATAAGCCATTTCCAACACTTTAGATTCATAAATAATTTGTAAAATAATAATAATAATAATAATAATAATAATAAAAACCTCACCTGTACTTTGACCAAAAGTAGTAAGATTTGTGAAAACATTTCACCACATGATGACAGAATGTTTCAGCCCTATGCCAGCGATAAATTCTTTGCTGCCTCAGTTGACTTACATATCCAGGCCTTAGTTTATGTTGAGTTAGTCACGCCACTCCATTTTTTTAAACTTGACATTTAACTATTTATGTTCCAACTTGTTCACAACTCCACAGCTTGTTATCGTTTGATTGAATGGTTTAATTGCTGAATGAGCTCCACTCTTTGACTGTAATAAATATACATTCATGGGACAGTATTAGGCATTTTCATGGTCAAAAATTCAAATGTATGGAAAGTTGAGCTTAGATGAGAACGATTGAGTAAAAGCTACTTTTTGTTTCTTTAATAAAAGTTCTCTCATCTCTAATCTCTGAATTAGTTTCCAACAGTGGTTTTTATGCTGCTGTCTTCATTAAAGTGAATATTTAGGTCCAGAAAAAACATGGTCCGTTGTGTTTCTTCTTTGTGTGTGAATATGGTGTTTCTGTTACTCTATGATGATAGAATCATCTCTTTTAAGTGCCATTATTGCTCTTTACTCCATTTTTGTAATATTGCACTGTGGGGGTTTATATGCTTTTACGACGCCTGCTATGGCGTTACGGAGGTGGGCTTTTTTTCCTTGATCGAGGCTACTTTGGTATGCCTGTTCCATTGCGAGTATATACTCTTCATGTGGGATTCTCTTGGGCATGATGGCAACAATTAGACCTCTTCATAACACTGCTTTTTCTGTGTTTGTAAGAGTGCGCTTCCATTGTTCCTTCAAATATCGCTTTCTTGCTTCTCGTATGGAGGTCAACATGTCATAAAGAGGTCAGTCTGATGGCAACAATAGTCTGTTGCCTGAGATGAAGAAGTATGCCAGTGATGCCAAACAGGCTATATTTCATGAGACACCATTGCAGTTCTCAAGAGCAAGAGAGGCTGCCTATCCAAAACTTGCCCCTGTGATCTCATCAGTGCTCTTGCCTCACAAGCTTTTGTGGAGCGCATCTTCTCTGTGTGTGGACTGTTGTCATCTGGACTGAGAAACATCTCTAGAGCAGCGTGTCTTCCTGAAGTACTGCCATCTCCTTCTAAAACATAGTCTCGCTTTCTCTTTCTCTCTCTCGCTCTCTCTCTCTCACACGCACACTCACACACACACACACACACACACACACACACACACACACACACACACACACACACACACACAATTTGAATATGCAAGGCCTGAAATTTGTTGACTATGTATAGTGATGTAACAAGTCTGCACACTCCTGTTCAATTGACAGGTTTTTATAAGAAAAAATGAGACCAAGATAAATAATTTGAAAAGAACAAATATCAACATTAATGACCGCAATCATTTTTTTTTTTAACCCATGGGAAAAATGTTATGGTCTGATGAATCCATGTTTCAACTTTTTGGCCATATTTCGTAAAGGAATGTTGGGTACAAAACACAACACTACTCCTCACCAAAAGAACATCATACCTGAAGAATGGTGGTGGCAGCACCGTTTTTTGTTTTACTGGGACTGGAAATAATTTAAAGAACACTGCTGCATACTCAATTATAAGATTGCGTGCACACTTGCGCAAACTCATAAATGTGTTCGTTTTTCCTCCGCCTCTCAAAAGTTTTTTTTTCAATTGAATTTTACAGCTTGTAGGTCCCATTAATTGTGGAGTAAGTTTTTAAATGATTAATATTGGTGTCATTTCAACCTAGCATTGCAACAGGGGTCTGTAGATTTTATAACCACTAAGTTGAGCAGCATTTACAGAATGTTGTGTGTTTCATCTAGCTTTTTGCCTTTGACAGACTTGCCGTTGCTCCCACAGTTCGACAAAACTGCTTCCAGACCCTTGATACGAATTGTGGACCCTGGTCAGAAACAAAGTCCACCCGGATCCCATGGAGGCGAAAAACACGGATGAGCAGCTAGGCGATTTCAAGCACTGATGGGAGCTTGGGCAGAACCACGAAGTGGGCCAACTTGGAAAACCTGTCCACAACGATAAGTATGACAGTCTTACCCAGAGACCGAGGGAGACCAGTGATAAAATCCAGGGAAATGTGTGACGCCCTATGGGCGTCGTGCAACTCCGGCGGGGCCAAGTGGATGGCATCCATTTGGTCCCGGCGAGGTATTTCTTCCCTTTGATTCCAAACCATGTCCTCGGCCATCAAAGCGAGGCGCATCTCCGGCAGGGCCAAGCGGGCAGCATTGCTTCGATCACGGCACGTCGCGCGGGTGGGCATGAGATGTTCCTCCGCTTCACTTGTAACACGTTGTCAGAATTTTTACCTGGAAAAAGTTAAATAAATGACTCGATACACAGGGAAGATTGTCTTTCTGATGGCGGAAGAGGATCTCTGAGGGCGAATGACGGTAGTTGCCCCATAATGACACTTAGTGTTCCTTGCCCTCCAGTCGGACTTTTATTTTTTAAATATGCAAAATACAAGAAAAACACTGCCCCCGATATTTGCAAACCACGTCCCCGGTCCGACCCCTCGGTAGTGATCTGATTAGCTTGGTTTAAGCTTTGAACCACAGATATGTTGACATCTTCCAGTCTCGTCTACAATGAATCAGCAAGTTGCAGACTTCGCAGGTGACAAATGTCCGCCCGGGCGCAACAGCCGTTCCCAAACCATCTTTTGATGTTCTACAACACCTCGTTTCCAAATTGTTTATTCCCACTTTGTAACCGAGTGTAGCCTTCTTCCATCTGTGAGTCCCCTTGCTTCGACGTGATAACTGTGGACTTCAAAGGCCCTCCGCCCAAACGGCCGACACCTTTGCACACAGGCATTTGAGGGCGCTGAATACGCACCCAAACGTCTAGACATGTCCAAATCAAATGAAACTACAAACATGATACACTTTTGCTCGTAGATTTCTCTGTCACACGCGCCTTCCCGGCCTGCCAGGCATTGCGCAGCTCCTGCAGGGCCAAGTGGGCACCATCGCTTTGGTCCCGGCTCGTTACGTGTGTGTTCGCTGAGCTTTATCAGCCCGTTGCTTGACACCTGCCCCTCTCCTTTCTGCAAGATCCCCCTCGTTGGAGCTGCACTGGCGTCCGTGCGGAGTAGCTCGGCCGTGCCGTGGGCTGCAGGGGCATTCTCCGACCCTTTGCACGGGTGGGCGTGAGATGTTTGTCCCCTTCATTTGTAACCCGCGCCACTCTCAGCTCTACAGGCACCATGCAACTTGCGTGGCCGAGCAGGTGGCATCCGTTCGTTCGCAGAAAGTTGCGTGGGTGTGTGCCGATGTTTTCTGCCCTTTGCATAACACTCTCACCGCTCCCAGTCCTATGCCCCAACATCCTCGTCGGAACTGTCTTTGCGCCGAAGCGGTTAATAATCACTAACCGTCCATGAGGCCTCATGAGGCGGGTCGACACACTGACACACTGTGTTGATACTGTGCTGATACTGTGTCGCTGACCACTGCCACCTGCTGGACCTTCAAAATCCCTGCAGCCAACCCACTTGACAGACTGAACTGACTGATTTGATGATGAAGTGTATACAATATCATTCACATCCATGAATTCATATTGTATCATTCAATGTGGTTCAATAATGTGAAAATCATGTGAATGAGGATGCTTGTGGGCTTTGTCTTCACAAATTTTTATTTAGAAAAATAAGATGCTCCAGTGTTTTAAATTTCAGTTTGTTGCGTTTCTTGCATGCTATTTCCCCTGTTGTGGAGAACACACACACAATGGAATAACACAATGGAATAAGACATGCCAAAAATCCGAGAGGCACTTGGTGAGACAAGAAGATTTGAATAAATACCTTATTCTCCAAAAGGAGATCAAAATGGCTCTACACGGCGGACAATTTGCGTTTGTCCGGAAGCTGCTCCATAATATGCACGTACTGTAGCAACGTCACTCGAGTGAAGCTCGCCTCAGCAGTCGATAGTACGCTGGTCTCTGCTGTGCGCGCGTGAGCGCGAGGACGGACTCACGGCGCCGACGCAACCCACGTCACTTATTCAAGAAGCTTTGAACTACGACAACAGCTAAGCTAGCCTAGCCGACACGACGCTCGAAGTCAGACGGACATGTTTTTTCTTATCTGTGTGTTGTCCTTTTTGCCTAAATCTATATTTTTATTCCAGCGAGGGTGAGGTCTGGCTTGTTTCGGCAGGCGGCATTGTGTCGCTAGACCAGGGGTGCCCATTACATCGATCTTGATCTTCCGGTAGATCTAGGACTCGTCCCAATTAGATCTGAAAGGCGTATAGGAGAAAAAGTTAGTAATATATTGTTTGTGTTAATGTACACTGCACTCTCATCATCTTATCAGTCTCGATTTCACAAAAAGTATTAAAAAAATAAAATAAAATAAAGCAGGTAAATCTTTAACCTCGGGTGGCGCGTGACCTGTGTCACCATCAGTTGTTCGCGCTCAGCAGTCTGCAATTGCAGCTTGTGATCAGAGCTGTTGCGCTATATCTTTGATCGTCATTATTCTCATTCAGAGTTTGCTTCGTGTACAATTCACCGAGGGCACGGGCAAAGAATAGGAATCTAGAGGGCTGAGGGAAGCACTTTAAAACGGTACGTGTGAGCTACGATTGTCAACAGGCTGCAAAAGTGCATCGCTTGGTTCCGTGTTTGGCTTCTCATCATGGCGCGCGTGCTTGCCCAGGTGCGCGCAAGCGTGTGTGTGTGTGTGTGTGTGTGTGTGTGTGTGTGTGTGTGTGTGTGTGTGTGTGTGCGCGCGCGTGCGTGCGCGTGCGCGGTAAGGGGCGAGCCGGGGAGGTTGGTTGAACGAAAAGTAGATCTTCGGTCCAAAAAGTTTGGGCACCCCGGCGCTAGACACACTTCCTTATAAACACTGTGTAGCGGGCTTTTGCTGCGTCGACGCCCCCTGGACTGACTCGATGCAGCCTGGACTGAGTCGACGCAGTTCATGTGGTCACGTGATCGTCATGAATCAGCACACGCACCGACACGTGGATTGCTCTGTGAGCTCGACGCATGCGTCGACTCATCGGTGTTGCTGGACCCATCATTAGTGATTACAAAGTCAAATCATGTCAAAAACCAGGCCCACCAAGCCTGACAGAAGTTGAGGTAACTTTGAGATAACTTAAGCTCTCAGTCAGTTACCAGAGGAACAGACTCTGTGACCCTAACTTGTTTTGTTTTTTTTTTTTAAATGAACCTCCAGTTTCCCTCTGTTTCCACCATTTCATTTCCACATTCATTCAGTCAGCAGCCCAGTTTTGGGAGAGCCTAGTCCCGCTGTCTTGTCATTTTAAAAATCTGAGTCACTGTATGAGAGGCCCATTCGGCACAGTAGATTGCTGGTAGGTGGAGACAAATATGGCACGTCCTTTTGATAATGATCCAGTGGATGAAGGTTCAGCATTATTGTGCAGAGAATTGACTCTTCATGAGGAGATGCTTATCAGACTGCACATAGATATTCTTGCATTTTGAGACAATTGTCTTTCAGCAGGACCGTTTCACATCAATCATCTACAGACACAAACTAATCTGCCCATACACTTGCAACATTACCAATCATTACCAGTACCAATACGTACAGCACATTTGACAATAAAGTTGTATTCAATTCAATTCAATTCAATCATACTCATTCTCTCGCATCCCAGCATATATTGTGTGTTGCTCTGCGTTTCTTTGCAAAAGGAGGTTTTTGTACAATGTCGGAGATGCTGGGCACTCAATTAAGGCAACTGTCTGATAAATGTGTTTTGCCGAGGTCTTAGCTGTTTGAACAATGTTTTTCTATTTCATCTTCAGCTGTTGCCAAGTGCACGTATCCGCTGCGGGATTGCACACAAATAAATTAATAGGCAGCAGTTTTCCCCTGGTATATTTTTGTGATTGCAAAGAACTACGTAGAAAGTTATGCAATGACCCGAGCAGCAATGTTTTCCCTCAGTGTCTCCAACTCTTTTGCAGCTGCAGCCTTGTTGCACTTCTTCCTGAAAATGTGTTCAAACTCGATGTATGAGCGCATTAATATTTCCAGTTCTGGTGTGGTTAAAAACGCAGTCCTTTTTCCCCATTGCCATGGTGACTCCTCGAATCGGGGATCCACTCATGCTGGCTTTTCAGAGTTGTGGTGCACACGCTTAACTTCAGGTGAAGACACTCCGAGTTGATTGAACTGATTCAAATCCTCTTTTCGTATCTCAGAGATCAACATAGAGTTCAACCTTCGACACAGAGTTTGTTGAACACTCTTGGTTGACACCAGGGGGCGTCAACTCAAATGGTCTTTTGACCGACTTAAGCTCAGTTAGAGGTTCTGATTTACTGAAAAAATGGCAAATGAATGTCCTATAGAAGTTGGCAAAGCCGATGAACCTCTATAACTGCTTCCTTGATGTTGGAGTGGGCCATTCAACCACAGCCAGGACCTTGGGTGGATTGGCTTGCAGTCAATCCTTCATTAAGAATAATCCCCCCCTGCCTGGAGACATAGACGGATGAATGGCTGTTTGGGTCAGTTTATACATAGTGGCATACAGTGGCAAGTATTAACATTGATGCTACCGTTATACAATGCATGTGTAAGCGTTTACTAAGTAGGCAACATATCTTTTTTTATTCCGGGCGCCCCATTACGGAGTACTGGGATGTGGACCTCTTAAGACCACACGGGTTTGTAAGATCATGTTACTTAAAAAAATGTATTGTATCTTGTTTACAGATACAATTAAGACATAAAACAAACTAATTTACTTGTTTATTCTCCTTTTTTCCCCAAAAATTATCGATAAGAATCAAAAACGAACTGAATCGCAAAGCAGAATCAATAATGTGATCGGACTCGTAAAAATTTGAGCAATTCCCATCCATGTTCATTGCAACCTAGCTGTCATGTCACCCTGGAGCCTTGATTGTGACAGTCCCTGATGGAATTCAAGATCCTTCTTGAAATTGTGGTTGATCTCCGTATTAAATAATTCATACAGTACATCTTTTTTTTGAAACGTAAAAAAAGCTTTTTTGTTTTTTTGCAGCGTTAGTAGAACAGTAATGTCACCTGACAATCATTCCCTGCAGCTTTGCCTGTGGCCTGCTGTAAGAGTTGGTATTCCTTGTGATTGACAAGGACAAAAGTGTGACAGTGACTTTGACAACAAGAAGTAAAGGACTTGGGCATGTCAAGTGCCATTAAAATTTCAAGGTTGGTCCTCGAGGAAAAGAAGGTAAAACATTCTGAACAAGACATTAAAATATTTATAACAATGTGGAGAGACTAAACAGCTTTACAATCTATCCATGAAATTGTGAAAAGTATATTCTCAGACATTTTAGCAGACCAAGTGCACAAACACTGTTTTGAAATGTTTTTGTTGCAGTGGTAAATTATTCTTACAAATGACTGCAATACATTAGGTATACATTAAACATGTCTTTATGACCTGGCCGGAATAAAAAAAATGTCTATATCTATCTATCGATCGATCTATCGATCTATCGATCTATCTATCTATCGATCTATCTATCTATATACTGTATCTATATATATCTATATAACTATATCTATAGATATATAGATATATATCTATATACAGGTATATCTATCTCTCTCTCTCTCTCTCTCTCTCTATATATATATATATATAGAGAGAGAGAGAGAGAGAGAGAGAGAGAGAGAGAGAGAGAGAGAGAGAGAGAGAGAGAGAGAGAGAGAGAGAGAGAGAGAGAGAGAGAGAGAGAGAGAGAGAGAGAGAGAGAGAGAGAGAGAGAGAGAGAGAGAGAGAGAGAGAGAGAGAGAGAGAGAGAGAGAGAGAGAGAGAGAGAGAGAGAGAGAGAGAGAGAGAGAGAGAGAGAGAGAGAGAGAGAGAGAGAGAGAGAGAGAGAGAGAGAGAGAGAGAGAGAGAGAGAGAGAGAGAGAGAGAGAGAGAGAGAGAGAGAGAGAGAGAGAGAGAGAGAGAGAGAGAGAGAGAGAGAGAGAGAGAGAGAGAGAGAGAGAGAGAGAGAGAGAGAGAGAGAGAGAGAGAGAGAGAGAGAGAGAGAGAGAGAGAGAGAGAGAGAGAGAGAGAGAGAGAGAGAGAGAGAGAGAGAGAGAGAGAGAGAGAGAGAGAGAGAGAGAGAGAGAGAGAGAGAGAGAGAGAGAGAGAGAGAGAGAGAGAGAGAGAGAGAGAGAGAGAGAGAGAGAGAGAGAGAGAGAGAGAGAGAGAGAGAGAGAGAGAGAGAGAGAGAGAGAGAGAGAGAGAGAGAGAGAGAGAGAGAGAGAGAGAGAGAGAGAGAGAGAGAGAGAGAGAGAGAGAGAGAGAGAGAGAGAGAGAGAGAGAGAGAGAGAGAGAGAGAGAGAGAGAGAGAGAGAGAGAGAGAGAGAGAGAGAGAGAGAGAGAGAGAGAGAGAGAGAGAGAGAGAGAGAGAGAGAGAGAGAGAGAGAGAGAGAGAGAGAGAGAGAGAGAGAGAGAGAGAGAGAGAGAGAGAGAGAGAGAGAGAGAGAGAGAGAGAGAGAGAGAGAGAGAGAGAGAGAGAGAGAGAGAGAGAGAGAGAGAGAGAGAGAGAGAGAGAGAGAGAGAGAGAGATATATATATATATATAGTGCGATTGGCTGGCAATCGGTTCAGGGGGTCCTCCGCCTACTGTCCGAAGATGGCTGGGATAGGCTCCAGCATACCCTATGACCCTTGTGAGGATAAAGCGGTTCAGTAAATGGATGAATGAATCTTGGTCTCACTCTGGGCACTTAACTGTAGCGTGAAAAACATTGAGTTTTATATAATAGAGATTAAATAAACACGTTAAATCTTTAGAATTCATTTTCATAATCAAAATAGATAGAAAAAAATGGCTATATTAGTCTTTCCAGATGAAGTCACAACATTCGAACAATTTAAAGTTCGATTTTTCATTCAAACACACAGAACCACATTTCTGACAAATGCTTATTTTATATTCCTGTGTACTGAGTTTAATTGCAAACCTGCACTTAATTTGGTCAGCTGTTCCTTGAAACCAGTTGGACGGACATGGAAGAATAAAATACAAAAGTCAAGTTCAGTGTCAGGGAAAATGTTCAAAGTCTGGGACGCTGCTTGTTCAGAGGTTTGGCAGTTGGTAGCAATCACTTTCAGATTGCCCTCAACTGGCTACCTTGAATTGTCTGCGATGGTTGTGGGGCAGCAGAGGCAGCATTGCTAGGAAGTCCACTGTTAATAATCTTGAACTGCACGCACTTTGAGTTGTGTGCTGATGCATGGCTGGCATACTGAGCAGCTGGACTCGCAGAACGTCCAGGAGTAAGCCAAAATTACGAATGCTAAATGAAGCAGCATTGACTCGTGTTGCGAGGTGAAACAAAAGAAGAAAGAAAAACCTTTTT